TAAGGATATTCAGTGTGGCTCATGGTGCACTGTCCTTGCCTCTTAATAAGGACACTCGTTTTCAAAATGTCCAAAGTCTTTTTTGTTGTGTCAGCAGCTGTCTTTATGATTTTTAACACCCGCTATAGAGCGATGTGGTTCTTAAAATGTATTTGTTTAATAACGAGTTGCACAACATATGTGAGACGTTCGACTGGAGTACTTTGGTTGTGGAGGAAGATGCCATAGCGATGAAGTGGATGCTTGATAGTAGTACATATGGTGATTCATCACTAATCTAATAAGTCGTCTTAACTTCATAAACAGTTTTGTGTGTGAAGCTTGAAGACACACTTGGTTTGTAGAGCGTTGTGTCACTCTTACTCAATTTGTATGGAATACCAAGTGCAAAGTTACTAAATCATTACTTAGGTACCGGAAAAATCTAATGTATAATTCACACTCTAAATTAGATATCTGAGTCATTATTTAAGGAATATACAAGTTAACTCACTGTTGTATATTATCTATCATAATTACACTTCAGATTAAGACATTTATTTTAAACATGGATGTTTATGTTATAATGCTCGGTCTTGGTGATAACACTCCTTGTCACTTACTTAAGTTCAACACATGGGGCACACACAACAGTCTCCTTGGAAATCATTGCTTTTCTGGGCAAGTGAAAATGTGGCATCATGGTGACATCCAATGTGTGTGAAGAGAGAGGAGAGAAGAAGAGTTAGATGAGTTGAGACTAATGTAAAGCACACTCAACCTGAATCAACTTCCTGATTCAATATTAATGATGAACCTTTGTTTCTGTCATTTTCCTCTTCATTTTTTACATAGATCTAGGTTTCTGTTTTTCCCTGATTACCCATGCTATCGATGATAGAAGATCAAGCCAGCTTTTCCAACTATCAGTATACCTCTGGCTCCATCCTTCTGTTGTAAAGATGTAAAAATGTAGGACTCCATACCACATACATCACTTTTCTATGCAAGTAAGGTAAGATTATCAGCATATAGGAGCTGACTGGAATTAGGCGGAGGCATTTCGGTGTCTCCAAACCTCATATGGAGGAGTGATATAGCTGCAACCCTACACATCGTTAACTCTCTACTATTAACTTTAAAGGTGATGAAAGAGCTCGCTTCAACTTTTTTCGTCGCTGTCATCGGTTTTTAATTTAATCTCTCTGACCTTATAGCTTCAGGAACAACGGAAGTTTGCAAATCACTCAAACCGGCTCTTATGCGTTTCATTTTAGAAGTTGTGGAAGTATAACTTCCTATACTCTGAGTGAGAGGGGGAACACAAAATATTCTCTCTGTTTTGGAAAAAGAAGAGTATTGCATATCCTCGGTTGGTGTGGTGAGGTGAGGAGTGTTGGTAAATTTTAATTCCAGTTCCCTTCAACAGGCACATTGAAACCTTTAAAATGTTTGAGCTAGAATGAGCATGTTCTTTTCATTTTCTCTAATGCATAACGCTCGCACAATCACATTGTGTATGCAAAGGAAGCTCTTAATACTGTCGTATGCTAATTAAATAGTACTCGGAGTCAGTGCATCTTTAATGTATGTTTGAGTACTACATCTAGAAACTGTAGAAAGTTTAACACTCAATGTAGGAGCCCTTGTATTAAAGAGAAATCTGGGAGGGGTTTTTTACGTCGGCTCTGGAAGAGATGATCGAACAAGATCTACGGGTACATGAGGAGATATAGAATGAAGTTAAGAAGACGATCATACAAGAAATAAGGAAAAACAATATAAGCAATAGTGGATTGTCATCACATGTGGAATTTTGTATCTTCACAATATGGCCTTTCCTCTACCGGGGACGTACTTCAAGGCTGCCCCCCGGCTCGTCAAATCCTTCTTTGTGTAGAGTGAGTGGGTCACAGCTTTGAAACAGATACTTGTGCAGGTGATGATGATCTTTACCTACCCCGAAAATTGCCTGTTATGCAGCGGTGTTTGAAGAACGCCTGAATTCTTTTCTTTGTCACATTTCTTAATAACGAGACGTATTTTCCCATAGGCTTAAACTGTGGAAACCAGCCTATACCGTTCCATCCAAAAGTCACAAACACAATTAAAATGAATACGCATATACTTGTGTTTACGAAACAAGAAGCAAACCAACATGTCATCCACTCCATTGAGTTCTGTCTTCTGCAGAACAAGAAACATTCTATACTTAGTAAATGAAGTGATATTGAACCTCAAATACAAGTGTGTGTGCACAAGCAGATATACTATTTCCTCGACTGCTTCCGTGGGCGCAAAGCAACAACAGTCAAGTTCGAATATTTTAAACTGTATGACTTTCGGTCGATATTTTAGTTCAACCAATGTACGACAGATGAAGTAATATTTAAATATGTGGTTTATTAAAGTTTTTGAAAAATAAATTTATTTGTGCATTGAATTGAATTTTGCCTTACTATTCAAGAGAGTTATTGTCAAATTGCCGGGCTTGCGAAAGATGAGCGTCCAAAAATCCGTTACACTAGTGTGAACACTTTTCAGGTTTTTAAACGTCAAAAGTAAATTTGTTGAGACCTCGCAAAGTGTGGAAAGTGGCTTTTAGATTGTACTATCTCAGGTACTAATACTTTACGATTTATAGAGGAGTATAACGCACTGTAATTCAAGTACCAAAATGGTCAATGAATTGTGTTTGAAAAACATTTCCCTTTCAATAAACACTGCAACCACTCTTCAGTCGTACAAAGCCGCAGAGCAACCACGTCATTTTTTTCATAATTTACTTTCTTTCAGTGCCACAGACACATGTACAAACTTTTAGAATTACGTTGGTCAGTCACAAAAGCTTTGTGTTATCTCTTTTTATCTGCCTGTTAGTCTGTACAACAGAAATTGTGACAGTATTGCATGTCTGTCATAGCGACTCCCATCTGACAGGTCTACCCTTGATTTCGGTACTTTTGAATTAATGTGAATAGAAATAATAATAATAAATATAATAACTTTTTACGCACTTCTTCACTTCTAATTTGGTCATTTTTGGTCTAATTTGGTTTTTACACCCTTTTACAGCTCTAAGAAATCTCATTTCTATGTTTCTCTTTTCGAGAAGGTCCAGGCTTCCATTTAACACGACTGGCACCGCCATCGTCTTATAGAACTTACGTCTGCTTTTGTGTTTTATACTTCAGAGTTCTTTGTATTGTTCCGAAAATGTGTTTAAACCTGTTTAATTTGTTTGTGACATCATCGTCAGATACAAAAAATACTTCATTTTTTTATATTTCTTGACGATTGTCAGTATTACTTTGCTTGATGCAAGTTTCCATCTTAATTTGGAAACTCACATCAAGAAAATATCAATTTCATAAATTTCACTTTATTTAATTCGTACGAATAAAGTAAAGTGAAATTTAGAAAATTGATTTTGAAAGTTGCATTAAGAAAACTTCACTTGTTACACAGTCCCACCATTGAATACTATTTTTGATTTGACGGGATATTTTCCATAAATAGCTATCACTTTAGTTATAGTAGATATTTTAAGGTTGTAATATTTATGTATATTTTGTAATATGTACATCCCTCTTTGTAGCATGTCTTCAGTTTGGTGAATCGTTCTGCATATGCAAGAAGGTTGAGTTTCATTTGGGCATGGTTTAGATAAATTCTCGAGTTAAAAATTCTCCATTTGTAAAAAATGTCAAAATATTAAATAAACAATGTTGGGGGAATTCATCCCTAACACCTTCTTTTGTTTTAATTTCTGTCATCCTTTTTCCGATATCAATAACAACTGTAGTAACTTGGTATAGACTTTTGATAGCATTAATAAGATGGAAAGGATTCTAAGAAGTATGCTACATAACTTCGTCAAATTTACGCTGTCGAAATCATTTTCAAAATCAATACATGCCAAGTTAATAGTTTCCAAGTAAAATTCACGTCTTTTTTCTAGTTTGATAGTAAATATCGCATCTATTGTGTCTCGACCCTTGCTAAATCCCATTTGATTTTCGCCTGCTAAGCAATCGGCATTTATTTTCAGCCTTTTATTAAGTATTCTAGCGTTTACCTTACTTTCCTACAACTTTTTGAATTTTCGATAATTGCACAAGTTAAAAATAATGCGACAAATTATGTGCTGTTGTTGCACCACTAGTTGCAATTGCAATACTTCTGTCAAACGCTTGTTAATGGACTGGAGCCTCCTGCAATGTTTGGTAACATCAGAAACAATCATAACATTATTTTCCGATTTGAATTTCCTTTTGGTAGCACTTTTGGGGTAGTTGCATTGCAAATCGTTTGTGCCCAAATAATCCAGCGACACATTATTTAGCTACGTACGGGATGTGGGGCGCAATAGCTGCCACAGCTATTGCTTCATTATACTAAGTACTATTTTATTTACTGCTGTAATTTGCATTGGAGCGCGTTGGTCATTGTTTGATGTACCTGAATTCAATGGAAGCTATTTTGATTTACTTTTTTAATATAATTTATGTTGATTTAAACTTAAAAGTTAATATGCATTTTCAAGCTTTTTTTGGTTTTTCATTGCTTGTGTTAGTGATATACAAGTTGTGAGAGTAAGTGTTGTCGGAGCAACGCTAATTATCTTAATGGTATTTGTTCTTAAACTTACATTTTTACATGGATTTCGTCGGGATATAGTTTACTTATTGGAAATGGACGCCATTTTGTTGCTCAACTGTGACAGTATCAACCATAAGGATTTCAATAGTGAAATGGTGTTTGATCACATATATACTCTCTGGATCACAGTATACAGATTATGATTTGATTTAAACAACATTTGAACTTACAATCATTTGTTTCATAATGTAGTTGCCACTAGTGACTTGCGAGATTCTGGCAAGATTAAATCCGCTTCTATAAAGTGGTATTTCTCAAGACACTTTCTTTATAAGGAAAGGTGAACTTCATGAAATATCCAATAGAAAAAAGAAAAAGATGCAGAAGATGGTTTCATTTTGGTTAATGTTATATTAGAAACAATATTTTCATATTATGTAGACACAAAATTTCATAATTTTAAAAGAAAAAAAAATCATGATTATTTTGTGAAACTGAATACTGATAAATTCCAAATAGATAACCAAAAACAATGACAAATATTTTCATACATACACAGGCATGGGTTGGATGGAGAAATTATGGTAAAACCACTTCCTGAACAAGAATGCAATGACATTTTGTGGGAAATGTTCCACAAAAATGGATATTTTGTATCGATTAAGTTTTGTAATGTTCAAAAGGAACAGTTTGTTATTAAATATTGGGCAATAAATAACATGCATCAGTATAGTTCAAGAAACTGGATGGCTATGGAGTTGGCACAATCATTACTTTTTGGAAAAGATTTTTGCCAGATATTTCTGTGAATCCACCGCTGCTAGAAACACCTAGTTTCATTATATAAAATATGGCAATACTGATGCTATCTTTCATTTTTGCATTTTCTGACTATTTTCTTCTTTTTGATGCAGACTTCAAACAAAAAAATAAAATAAAAAAAAACACATTTTCTTTTTCAATAGGGCAAATAAGATGTAAATGCAAAAATTTATCAACATATATCCTTACAAAAGTATATTTTCAAGACAAAATTATTGAATATCACATGATGGACCTAATGTGTTTTGCAATTAATAGAATGTTTTGATTTGAAAACAAAAGTTCATATGCTCAAGTCACATGTTGCTCATTACAGAAAAGAGACAATTGTGAACAACTGTTTTAAAATGACTAGAATAAAATATTAATAGTAGTCAAATTTTTTAAATAAATAAAAACATTAAACGTAGTAGATGGTCTACATCAAGTTTACCCGAATAATATATTTTCTATTCTTTATATTAAGATTTCACTGTATTATAACTTCTTGTGATATCAGAGTATAAAAATTATGTTAATTTGAAAAAGTGTACACAGAAAACATGTTACAACCATAAAAAGAAAATCCCGATTATTTGGCACTTACCTACAGTATTCCACTCTATTAAAAAAACAACAATCACCAATTCAACATTCACAATGAATTTCATTTTTTTGTACAAATCAAACATACTTTGGGTGGGGGATGGGGGTGGAGAAATACTGCACCCTCTTTAACATGTCATCAACATTCATGGAGGAGAGTCTTAGAAGACTAGAGTTCACGGTCTACCATATCTAGCATTCTCCTTTGACACACCATATCTCGAGAAAAGTTGAATTAACTAGATGAATCATTCATTAAAACTCTCTCTTTACTATACTGCTCAAAACATATTTCTGTTGCTGCAAATACAATTTGAAGTCTCCGATCTAATGCCTGTAAGTGTGGTGGTGACAGTACTGGAGTGATGTGGCTATGCTGAAGCAATGCTCCTAGAGAAGTACTTAAAGCTGTACCACCCTTGAAGAGTAGTAGCCGCTCCCATGTTGATTTGCGCATTCTAGAACAATATTCAATTTATTTTGACAGATAAATGTATTACAGGAGACCTTATTTGATTATTACAATAAATTAAAAATTAAAAAGCAACAACAACAACATGAATTCAAAACATAAAACTTCTCTCCTGAAAAATAGCTAATTTCAACTAATATTCATTTTCTCTGGTGCAATGTATGTGTATGATGGAGAGAAATAAATAAAATCTAGTGAAGCAAACAAAAAATGGCCATATCCTGGCAAGTTCATTCATAACATTTTTGAAAATTTGAATTCATGAAGCTTGATAAAATTAACTTTGACTAGAGGTGATTTTTTTGATTTGTCTTTTTATCTGAACAAATTTCCTTACTTAAAATTAAATTAACAAATTACACACATCAGTTTTAAAATTGGTACTTACAGGCAGCACTGGTACAAAGGAGCCAGAATGTCTATATGATCCTGATAAGGATGTCCAAAACTGAAATATAAATGAAATGAATATTTTAAACAGAGATTGATACATTAATATTGAAGAAGGTTTTATATAAATCTTATTAAATTACCTTTTTCCATTATCCAACAACAAAACAACAGAGGCAGGAGAATTTTCAAATACCTCATAATGATGCCTGTCTCCATTATCAATTAGAAAATCAAATATGGCAGTATCTATTAAATCCAACAATCTCGGACCAGACTTTGGATTATATAAAGAGGATGCTTTCACTCTAGTGCAGTATTTCTCATCGGTCTCCCATCTGTAAAAAACAATTAAGTCTGTACTTTTCTGTAACATTCATAAAAGTAAATAAATATCTATTTATATTCATTAAGTTATTTGATCTTCCCTTTGGCCACATAAGACACTTTTCATAGTATTAGATAAGAATTTTTCAAATAACAATAAAAGCCTTGTAATTACAGCAACCTTACAGAAGCACTGACAATTTGGGCAACCAGTTCTAAATGTTTTAACAAACTGCAGGCTTAGCAAGCAAAGGCAGATTCAGAAAGTGTTTGAGGTCAATGCCCATTTTTTTAAGAAATCAGAAAATATTACTTTCAAGTTACATACTTCTGACAATTTCCTCTCAACAATGTTGCCTTTATTGGTTATGATATATTTTCTGGATATGTTATAATGATAGTATTTAAACAATAATTTTTTGAAGCACCTAATTGATCCAGATTATCCAAAGATTTTATTTCAACAAGAGTTATGAAACTCAAATGAAAATAAAATTCATAAAAAACTCAAAATAAATTTGCTAAAAAGTGGAAAGGGAGGATTGCCATGATTCTTCTGTAGATCCACCTACATGGGGGGGGGAGCAGGCAGCTCTTACTGGGAAAATATCACTGTTTCATCAGTGGAAGATCCATAACATTGTCTACTAACATGCTTTGACAATAAAGCAGAAATGCTTCTGACAAAAATGCAGAAATAATTCAATAACATTCTTACCGGGCTGCCATATCAACTCTGTAGGTGCGCTGCCAAGGATGACGAAATTTTTTAAGTTTGTAACTTGGACCTGATGGCAGCCACATTATCAAAGCTCCTTCCATTACATTCTTGTGAGCACAAACAGGATCTTGTGGACTACAATAGTAACACACACCATACAGGCAAGTGTTGTTTCCTGTTTGCAAAACCACATTTAAATTCCTTAATTTCGCTGACACAGCACATTAACCATTATGTTAATATTTTACGAATTAATTACCTTCTTGATAAAACGTGTCAAATAAATCATCAGTGGCAACTGGCATTATCTCACTACGCAAGTTCACTTTTCGACCTACTGTAAGAGGGCATCTTCGCAACCCCAAAAGAATTGATAAATGAAAAGCAGCAACTTCAGCATTGTGCCTATCTTTTCCAGCATATACAGGACCTTCTATCATTTCTGTTCGAGGATACCTAAGGTACAAGAAAAGGCTATTAGAAGCAGCAAAATTGCTAACATTATTTCCTACATGTTTCACTCACCATTGGGGCTTGAAAATGGCTTTTTGGTTGTCTTGAAGTGTTAGTAATAGTTTCAATTGAGTCCCATGACGAGCATTTTCAGCATGAACAATACGTGTTGAGCACAGCGTGCGTAATACACTCCCTAACAGAGAAGATCTTTCTGGCACAATCTCTCTAGCTTTAACCCACTAGATGGATAAACAAAACATATTTTTAATTATATTTTTACTTTTAACCAATACCCTTGACCCAATAATTGAATTTCTAGGAAAATAAATTTACTTTTTCAGCTGTACTCCAGAGAGTTGTTGAAATGTCGGCTGTTGGTTTTAAATCATCTATAAGTTCCTGCATTAGCTTTTTGTACATTAGGTTAGTTTTAAAATATTTGGATGGCAATACAGTAACTTTCTGTTGAATATTTTTCATTGCTTTGATGGTAGCATTTCGATGTTGAACAACTTTGCTTATCTTTACTTTTGTTGCTGGTTTAACGGTTTTCTTAATGGCAACCAAATTGGCACGTTGTTCAGGTTTAGATCCCTGTAAAAAAAAACTTATAAGCAATAATTTAGATATAAATACAATATATAAAGGTACCTCACGTACCCCATTCTCTTTTCCAGTCACTACATTTGGTGATTTTTCTTCCACTATTAAATAAACAAAGTACATATTTGCACTAAGCACCAACAAAAAGAGTGCGGTAAGAGATAAAAGGGCACACTGGCGCTTAATAACCTGAAAAACAAAAGGTGTTAGAGAGGTGAATTACTTTTATTTTGTGGTTGAAGGTTAAATTTTAACATACCATCATAATGTAGGATATCATCATTAGGAATTTATTTGTAGCTGGATCTTCTCTTTCTTTTTAACGCCACCATAACATGAATCCTTCCAGATCAAAATATCTGAAGCCATTTTCAGTTATTCGTAATTTGTCTTTGCTACTGGAAATTACATAATTTGACACGAGTTTAATATTAATAACCGCAAAACTACAGTTAAAAGGGTTTTGTCAACGGCTGATGCATCTGTCTGACAGGTTATCATCTTGGGATAACCAATTCCCAATAACAGTGTATAACATGCATCAGCACAGCATACCTAACACAAGGCTTAATGGTTTTCAATAGCTCTCAATAAGTTTTCAAGCCACTAAGACAGTGACTCGCGGAACATCGGCTATCTTTGCAAAACACAGAAGGAACGAAATTACATCACATCACGATTACTGGGGGATTCAAAACCGCATATGCCCAGCATATGTCCAACATAAGGCATATAGAGCAGAGTACAGCTCACAGCAGCAATGCGCGATCGTATTTACAACGGGCGAGCTACAGGCAATCGCAATTTACAATTCATTTGTTTATCCCAGGTTTATCCTCTTCTGTCAAGTGTCAGTATAACCATCATTAACATGATTATTATTTCTGAATACGTACCAGCTCCTACTTTCTTGAAATAATAATTTAATGTGTTACTGATAAATACATGTAAACGATCAGTAAGAGAGCGCGAAAAAATTGTATTCATGAATTAATATTGAATCACACAGATTGCTGAAAAGTTTTAGTTGGTGAAACTGAAATCATCCTTTTCCACCACCCCATGTCGACCACGTCGCACGTCACGTCGTAAGCCAGCCAGGGAGAATGTCGTAAACGGCGCCTGCGACACGCTGTCAGAGAGCGCACGAAGCAAATCTCACTTTAACTGACGTAGTGGGGCGATGGGAGAGGATGGAAAAATTGCTGTGGTATGTAGAGTGAGGTGAAGTGTTGCAGTGAATGGCACCTTGATGAAATGTGGAAGAGAGAAATGTTCAGCGCCAATGATTTCTGAAACATAGGGTGGCGTTTCAGCTTGTGTATTCTAATTTAATTTTTGAAGGAACATTTTTTAATGTCATTATCATAAATTTCCACAAGATTTGGAATATTTAAATTGCTTGGTTTGCTAATTATCGTGGTGAATATCTTGACGCAAATTATTAATTTAGGAGACTGGTTCAGTGACAATTTTAAGCTTTTCTTACAAACGGTCTTAACGGTTATCAAAGGTCAGGCAAAGTCAAAAATAAAATAACTACTCAAAGTACTCCTTAAAATTTGAAAAGAAATGCCAACAAAATTTTGTAACTAAATTTGAGAAATGATGAGTTTTCAAACATTGAATGTGTAAAGAGAACTCTTGTACCCTATACTTTTTACCAGTTTCTTTTGTCAAATGAAGGATGAATTGTTGTATTCCTCCAAGAAGTGTAGTATTTACAAAGTATTTACAGTGACGTTTTATTTGTTTCTCTAGACATGTATTATGAAATGTGCATAATACATGAAAAGTTCATAATACACAAGGTTGAAATTGTAACTTATTCACTGAAAGCAAAATATAGATAAATTTTACAAATATTACAAATTTGCCAATAAATCTATGTTAAGTAACTTCAACAATCATCACATTAGATTTACTAAAACAAATAGTCTCTTCAAAAGTGGTCACATTTAAAGTATTTTGGAATATGTAAATGTTTTCCTTGCAAAGGACTTTTATGCAATAGTGTTGTAATTACTTAAAATATCAATTTGTAAAAACAGCTGTGTGGTTATATGAAATATCAAATTAAGCTAAACAAACAAAAGAGTTAGTAATTTGCGCAATGTCTATGCATGCATGAAAATTTCTCCAAAAATATGTGACTACATAAATTTCTAGATTCTGTTGAAATTCTAATGTAATTTTAATATTATAGCTATAATTTAGGTTTTATTTTGGAATGTTATAGATAAAAGTGCATAATTTTAAAATGCTATGATGTTTTTAAAATTTGCATTTTTAATTTAATTGTTTTTCAACTTACGAGGAGTAGACAAGAGTTCCAATATTGTTGTATATGCTTTGATATAAATGATGTAATATTATGAAGGTGTTTCACCAATTCCAACCAGTATTTGTAAAACCAACCATTACTTGTATTTTTCCTTAAATTATCATTTTTTCCCCTTTCTTTTTCAGAAGATGAATCTTCAGCTACTTATTTTAGGACTTCTATTAGTTTTGCATGGTGTAATAGGTCCACCTGTTACACAACAAAAGAAAAAAGATGGTGAAAAAAGTTCCGAAAATGATATAGGAGAAGGTGAAAATGAACAATTGGTAAGAAATTCAAAATTTGCTGGTATTTTGAATATTCTGCTTTGGTGATTTATATTGGTTCAGGAATATTATTTAAAAGGATAAAGGTTGGTGACATCCAAAAGGTCCATCAAAATACTATTATGTTTGATTAGATTTTCACTAATCTATACATTAAAATGATGCAAACTAAGTGAAATTCTTTCAAAATTTGTGGTGCCATAAGAATTAAATCTCGTGTATTATCATTGCATGGTAGGTTTTAATGAAGTCTTAATTTGTTTTTACACCATAGATCAATGCCTTGTAGTATAGACATTAATTTTATGTTACAACAGAAGGAAATAACCCATTTTATATGAATTTTTCGTTGGTTTCAACAAATAAGACACTTTTCACTTTTTCTCCATTGTTTTTAAAGCAATTTTTGCTGTTTTCATTGATTTTAATATCATTACTTGGTACATGGTACATGAGTTGTAACAAATATTATCCACAAAGTTCCTGAATAGCATATTTGATTAATTCACTCAGATATTGTTATTTGGGCAGTTGTGAGTACATAATCTAATGTTCCCGTGATGCCTATCTGCGCCATTGTTGGTTCAGTCAATTTAGTGATAGGTTAAAACAGATTTTGTGGTAAAGAACAGTCCAAACAAAGTTTCCAAGCTCAGTTCACTTGAACGAAAGGCAGAAGCCTCAATTACATCAGTAACATATCCAACAGCTCAAGTTGTTCATTTGGACTGGTTTCGATGAAATATCTTACATTTTTATTTGCCTTTAGAGTATTTTAAAAACATTTTAATAGCATTTATTGACCATTTTTGACTATGTTTTAGGTCATGAAAATCCAACCCCCTATTATCATTATTAAGTAGAGCAATTATGCACAATTGTGTGTATTACAACATGAAGGTTTTTTGTTTTATGATGATATAAATTATAAGGAAGATGCTTTGTCAATGTACAAAACTTATTTTGGTTGGCTATATAAATATTCTGGTCTATAATGCATATGTCAAATATCTAGGATTTTTGAGACATTTAGATAAAGTATTTCTTGAACAATTTATTATTAATGAACCTAATATGACAATTTTCACATATTAAGTGCTTCAGCTTCTTCAGATATTCCACTAAGAATTATCGCTAAAAGAAAACTACAATGATAATATCAGAAAAACAATCCTGGTTTTTACAATGCACACATGAATAAAAAATAATAATTAAGTTGGTAGGAACAAAGCATATCATCAGGAAAGTTACTTAATATTCTAGAGAACTTATCAAATATATTTTTAAAATTTTTAAGAAGTATAAAATTGAAACAATAACTAAGGCATTTTTTATGTAGACCCTAGACAAAAGTGATAGAACATTGTAGCTTGACCATGGTCAGAGCTCAAATGAACTCAGACTAGGCTTTTCCAAAGAGATATAAACCCCTAGACTCCTCCTCCCAGACAACCACATTAGAAGACAGACACACAAGTAGTGGAAGTTGCCAGCAGCTTTTTCACTATTCAAAGGCTCTCTGGTAAGCAGGTTTCAGAAGGCGCTTAAGGGCTAGCTTCTTTGGTAGCAATTAGAGTTCCATAATTGTGTCCTTTGAGAGAGGATTTCACTTTTGGGAATAAGAAATGCTCTGTGGGTGTGAAGTTGAGGCAGTGAAGGGGTTGGGGAATCATGGCGTCATTTTTCCTCAGAGTTTTGGTATTCACTCCTTGGAGTAGGTGTGGCTGGGTGCATTGGTATGATGCAATTTCCATGTATTGGGATTTCCAGGATTTTCTACAACGCATTGTAGAAGATTTTTGTAAGCAGACACTCGACTGCTTTTGGTTTCAAGTTCTTCGAGATAAGTTTGCGGAGATGGTTTGTGTTCGAAGTTTCCATCGCAGATCATTCGCATCCACATTTTCAGTGATAATGGTGTGTACTATCATCTTATCAATGCCAAAACAATCTTGGCCATCTTTGAAGAGCTTGTGCCACTGAAAAACTGCAGGTTGTGACATGCTGTCATCCTTCAACACTTGACGAATCATGCCCAGCATCTCCATGGCCGATATCCCAAGTCCATCACAAAATTTGATGGCGTACTGCTACTCAATCATTCTCTGCATTTTGTGCTTGCATTGAGTCTCTCTAGAGTCCACTAAAACAGGAATGTGAAAACATTGCTGAACACATCAGTTTGTTTGAGATTGGATGAGCTGCTTGGCAAAAGCCGAATGTGTGGAGCCACCTTTATGCGAGCGCGCTGTGATACATTTACGTCAGGAAGAAATTGTTTCTGACACATTTTGTACACACCTTCTATGACGAAAGAAACTATTATGAGAATTTATAATATTACATAACTAGTGGTGCTACAGACTTCCCCATATTAGTTTTCTATTTCCTTTGGTTTCAGATAGCTATTTGAACTTGCCACATGTTTTTGCCTGCTGCCATCTATCGTTTACATTTACATTTTTTGAAATTTTCTTAATTTGTCGATTTCCTAATTGTTGAGAGGAAATATTATTTTAAGATAATTAAAGAACAGTAAAACCTCAATGGCAATTTCCTTTGAAAAATTTGGAGTTGTTTTTATAAAACTGGTGTTAAAGCACTACTGTAAATTCGAAATTTGAAGCTCTTTTTCACACTTTATATTGTAGATCAGAAGGTACGAGGGACAGGAGGCGACTCTAAAGATGATGGCACCCACAGGAACACTTCAACTCATTAGGGAATACTACTTCTTTACCTGCTAATAGGACAGGAAAATTGTTCTTCAACTGAGGGTGGTGATGATGAAGATGATAATGAAGAATATTCTCCAAAAATTACACATCTACAATACTTTTTTAAAAGGTTTTGCAAGTTGTTAAAATTTACATTATAGATAGTTTTTTAATAATTTATTGTATTTGTGTACACATATGCTTCAAATGATCTCTTATAAAGTTTTTCAAAATCACAAAGGTTTTGTAGGTAAAGAAGCTCAAAATAGCACAATTTCAGAAACGCTCAAACAATTTCTCAAATGCAGTTCAAAATTTCCCACTTGGAAAGAGGTTTTACTATTCTATGAAAGTCGCATTTACATCTAACAATTAAGAGGTAAAAAAACTGAGAAAACATGAAAAAATCTATATCGTTTTTGATAAAGCACATGATCTTGATTATAAATATCACAGGAAAGAATTTAAACCATTGGGTTAGTTAAGATCTCTAAATTCTACATTATCTGAAAAGTTATTTAATTTTGAAAAGAAAATAAAATCATTAATGAACACAAGGTTGATAGTTTTTAAAGCTTTATATATTACTTTGTTTGCATTGTTGCTATAGAATCGTCGTCATCATGAATAGCAGATTAGTTGGTCTAGTGCCTGTTTCTGTTAAAAGACAGTAGATCTGGTGATCATTCCTCCAGATGTTTCTGAGTAATCCATCTTTTGTTGGGCCTTCCTATATTTCTTCACCCAATAGATTTACACTTGAAAAGTTCTTTAGGAAATCTTCCTGCTTGCATCCTACGCACGTATGAAAGCTATATCCTCTGGTTCTCTTTAATGTCATCAACCATTTTGCTTTGAGTTTTTTTCTGATTTCAGTGTTTCTTAGCCGATCTAAACATAATTCCTACCTGCTGCCTGAAAAATCTGTTTTGTGCGGCTTCTAATCTCTGACAGTCCCTTTGTTTCTGATCTAGGGTCCATGTTTCTGATCCATACATTAACATTGGCAACATGTTATGTTGTGTATTCTTAGTTTTGTCACCGTTATCTTTCTTTCAAAGTTACTATGGAAACAAAAGTGTTAAATGATGTAATATTGCAAGCACATCATTGGCCTTATATACATAAAAAGAAATGGATTTTACTTCTTATTGTTATTAGTACTAAATTATTATAATTGTACATAACCTTAACACATATACAAAGTGTTTGGTCAAATTAATAAACATGTTAGCTCAGGAGCTTGGGGCAGCTAGGCCCAAGTACATCAACCGTAAGGCTGGAGGGTTTGAATCCTGGTGTAGGCAAGAATGTTTTTCAGTTGTGTTGTGGCTTGGGGCAACCCAGTCCCTCGTTTCATCAATACCCATCAATATAATTCTTGACTGGGTCCCTATAGCAAGTACAATGAAACAATGGTACAAGCAAAGAACCAAGATGAGAGTATATATTTTATGTAGTTTCGCAATATGCATATATACCAAGTTCTTGGTTCATCATAAACTTTTATGGGAAATAGAGATTTTTAAAATGTGCTGTTGGTAGGATGAAAAAGAGAAAAATGATAGTATTATAACATAGCATTTCAAATGTAATAGTTTCTTTTTGAATACAGTATTAAAAACAGGTTAATAACTGTATCTTCATTATTCTTTTAGTATTCTCTTTTGTTGGAACAGTGCCTTATATCATGTGATATTCATAAGTTAACTAATTGGTATGCATTGGCTTTTTCTTGGAATTCATTCTGTTCTTCTAATTTTTTTAGCCGACATTCTTTTCATTTTTGACAGGATTTGGTTATATATGAACCTTTAGTAAACTTCTTTGTAGTTTTTTGGAGTGATATGATCATTGTATCTGCTGTTTGAGTCATTAGTAAATTAAGTTTGCGAAAATATGTTTAGTTATTGTAAGAACATTACTCATTAGAACTCTTCAGGTAACATGTGTGTAATTGAATTTTCTTAGGGTGCTCTGGGAATAGAATATGATCGCTACTTAAAAGAAGTAGTTACTGCCCTGGAAAGTGACCCTGAATTTCGAGAAAAATTGGAAAAGGCAGAGGAGGTAGATATACGGGTAAGCAAAAAGTATTATTATTGTTTTTTTTTTTTTTTTTAATGATAAATTTGCTGTTATTTTATTACAAATTTCTGTTACTTGCAATTTCTAGACTGGAAAAATTGCCCAAGAATTGGAGTATGTTAATCATAATGTAAGAACAAAACTGGATGAACTAAAAAGACAAGAACTAGAGCGATTACGTCAACTTGCAAGTCAAGATCCACATCATTTAGATCACAGCAATCCTCATACATTTGAAATTGAAGATCTTAAAAAACTAATTGCTAAGGTTTGTGTGCTATTCAGCATCAAATAATAAAGAGAAGCAGCATATTGGTAGAGCAGTACTGCATTTTTAAATTGTATGAAATAATAAAAAACTGAAATATAAATAACTTTTAATATTCCTTGATATCTGTAGATCAATGGTTCTTTTTAAAATATTCTTCTAAAATTATTTAAAAATACTGTAACATGTTCAATTTTTATCATTGTAATAGTTTCTTTTTAAGACAATTGTAAAGATGAGGGGTCCCCAAATCATTTTATAGACAGATGTTTCTACAAAATTTCTTGTTTTATTTTTGGGGTCTCATCATCATTTGCTACAGTTATGGGAATGGTTGTCCCAATCATTAGACTAAAAATTTTTCAAAAATTACTAAAAATGTTACAAAATAAACATTAAAACATTAGAAGTAAAATACTACATAAAACAAAAGAATTATGAAAAGTGAAATTATGTACAGGTCATAATGCACTTAACAAATACAACAGAGTTCATTATATAAGATGTTTGCATCAGCAGATGGAGACAACCAATCCCCAAAACTGAAGCAAACTATGATGAGACCTGGAAAATAAAAAAAGGAATTTTGTTCAATCGTCTCTCTATAAAATTATTTGGGGACTCCTCACTTTCAAGAATTGTCCTAAAAACCATTTAAAAAGACAGGCTAATTAATAGTTTCTTTGTTAGTAAGTATGTAGAACAAGTGATTTGTGAAGTTGGTAACTCATAGCATCATAATAGCTAAAATGTAATAATATTTGTCATACTTAAGAACACTCTTGAACCTGAACATAAACTCAAATTTTAATAATGTCATCTTAAACAGGTAACATATAGTATATAGCTTCTACATTTTGTCTTTGAGATAAATTTTGATTTTCATAATTGTTTTTATGTGGTGGCGAAAATGATTCACAATAAATCCAGGAACTTCTGATCATTTTCTCACCCTTTTTTAATATCAGTTTGTAAATAATGAGACTGAATTTCCTACAGACGACCGCTGATCTAGCTGAAGCTGATAGAAAACGAAGGCAAGAATTCAAAGAGTATGAAATGCAAAAGCAATTTGAAAGGGAACAGAAGTTGCAGGCTGTACCAGAAGATAAAAGACATGAAATGGAAGAAGAAATTCAGAAGCTTGAGGAGAAACATAAGAAACACGAACCTGTCAGTAACTTAAGAACTTGTTTCCATCTTTTTAATTTAACAATTTATGGGAATGTTCCATTGAAAATAAAAAATAAAATACAGTTACTTTTATTTTTTTTGGATAATTCAGTCTATGCCTTTTATGCAACATAACTTTTCTTTTTTCCTAAATTATGTTGATTTTTTTTTGATAGAGCATTTGATTTGAATTATGAATTTGTTTTCCCCCCTTTTCTTGTTCATTTCTTTTTTTTAGCTTCATCATCCAGGCAGCAAGCAGCAATTAGAAGAAGTGTGGGAGAAGCAAGATCACATGGAAAATCAAGAATTTGATCCGAAGACATTCTTTTACTTGCATGGTGGGATTTTGGTATTACTAAAGATAAATTAATAATAGTTTTTTACTTATTTGATCAGGGCTTATAAAGAATTGGAATTTTAAATTTCTTGATTCCTGTTTTAAATGTTACTGATTTCAATAAATTTTGTCTTGGTAGCAATTGAGTAAGATAAAATTTTGGGTTTTGCAGATCTAGATGGCAATGGTGCATGGGATGAAGAAGAAGTAAAAGCTTTATTCTTGAAAGAGTTAGATAAATTGTATCAAGCTGGGGCACCAGAAGATGATATGCGAGAACGCCGTGAAGAGATGGAAAGAATGCGTGAACACGTTTTTAATGAAGCAGACACTAACAAGGATGGTCTAATAAGGTAAATAGAAAAAATGTCTTGTATTTATAACTGTCCTGAATTTTGCATACTTCAATGTCTGTTATAATGTCAGATACACTCTTCAACAAAAATAATGGAAATTCTAGATATCTGTTGATTGTTGGCAGTGTGTAAAATTCCTTTATTCTAAGATGGTGCTGCTCCAATTATGGCAAGACTGCAACAATATAACAATGAACATGCATGGAGTAAAAATATCTGAGATGGATTTATGTGTGGTTATTAAGCAGAAGTTACAACCATGGACATATTGTGAATGCATTTCTCTTATATTCATGACCTTAGCTCTGAATGGATCCTGATATAACTTCTGTCAATCTCCCTTTCACAAATTCTCAGTGAAGAGTCATGCCATAATGGTACCAAAATGCCATCATTGGGTCAGTTGTCGGTGGAAGGGACACCAGCTGGATTCTAAATTATTTCTTTGAACCCATCCCAATATTAGGGTCCAGGATTGATTCACTGCCTTGTGACTCATTTTGTTCCAGCTGGCTGTAGCCCTTCCAAAAGTGCATGTACAATTATTCAAGGGATCCAAGTATCTCATAATTAGTAAACAATTGCAGAGTTCCTTTGGGCACTTGGGTAGTGAAACAGCATGGGAATTGTACAGTTGGTGTCTTAAGGAATACGCTCTATATTGGGGGCAAGTCATAAAGGATTGTTGCTCCCTGTACACATCCAGCACACCTCCAGGATTTGAATTATTGGTTTCTTAATTTATTAATTTATTTTATTAATCATAACTTTTGAATATCCTCTTTGTGGATTAGTTTTCTCTTTGTTGTGTGCTGAGTAATTGACATAAGATCTTACATGCAACACTTGGATTGGTTGGATTGGATGTACTGGACACTTGGAGTGACATGGAATTTTATGAGCTTATTCAGCACCTTTCAAAACTCATAAATATAAATTTTTAAGAACTATGAAGCATTTCAAGCTGTGTGTTTCCGACAATTAGTGTTGAGACCTTTCATGACTTGTCGCCTGTCGGAGTACAGAAATCGCCACACACTGCCGGTACTATAGCTGACACTCATATATTGCATTGCTGCTGTCAACCTCTCTGTTGGCAGGGTGTCAATTGCCTCGTACAGCATGCCGGGTGGCAAAAATGGTGTTTACATATCAGGCTCTGAAAGACAAGAAGGAATTGATATAGATATATAGAGATGTTATTCCAATCTATTAACAAGACCGTATGTTTGTCTGGGATATCAACCACAGAGAAATTTATTTTGTGGGTCGACAGAAATGTCTGTACGGAATCGAGGTGATGAACTTCACGTAAAGAATACTTGTATTAATAAGTTTTGAATAATGGGAATTCTATCTACATTTATGAAATTAAAAATATTCACACTTCAAAACACAAACGTTTATAATCTGTCATTTCTTTTTTGGGTTGCAAAAGAATAACACATATGATTAGTTTCATGACAAAAAGAAGAGTGAAAAAGAAAAAATGCACAAATAACAATCTTTTTCAATCAGCATTTCCATTTGGACTCTTAGATAAGAGTTCCAAGGAAAGGTAAGCAAAGTTTACCTCCGATATCACCTAGAGTTAGATAACCATTAGATATCTACAATCATGATCAATATATGGATCAGACAATCCAAGCCATGAGGCAATTCTATAAAACTTATGTTGAACAGTTTCTAATGTAGCTATTGAAAAACTGAAGACTAGAGTCCAGATGGCCTCACAATCATCAACTAATAACTCCAAGATCAGAGATGACTTTAACACATTCCAAAGCTACCAAGTTAATTGAATAAACAAAATCAGTTACAAGATTGGATCGTGAAAACAAGATAAATTTGCATTTATTCGGGTTTAATACAAGACCACACCAGTAATTAAACTCATCAAGCACAATTTGTAAATTAATCACATCGTTACGATTTGAGGTAGATTTAAAATTTGTACAGTCATCTGCAAAGAGTTAAAATTCAACATCTTTCAAAACTAACTTGAAATCATCTATGAAGACAATAAACAGAAGCAGACCCAGATGAAAGCCTTCTGGAACACAAGACAAAACAGATATCATTTGACAAAGTATTATTTATTTTGACATAATGTATTCTATTAGTTAGATAATTATAGAACCACTGCATAGACTGCCTGCAATACCAAAGGATTTCAGTTTTTGAAGAAGTGTATGATTGAATCAAATGCCTTGCTAAAGTCTATATATACTATGCACTTGTGTTTTATCATCAAGAGAATCCAATATATACAGAGTGTTATACGTTACGTTCGTATCAATACTATACTTATTGACAAATTGCCAATCAGAAAGAAAAGAATAAATCAGCTTTTTCAACTGATCTGTAATTCAAGAGTTTTGGTATTGCACTCAATATTGAAATGGGAAGATAGTTTTCAATGTTGTTCATATCACCAGTTCTAAAAACGGATAAGCTGAATGATAATTTCCACTTATCTGAAAATTCACCTTCAGCAAGGGATTTAATAAAGGTATTGTTGAGTATTTGTGAGAAAAGAAATCTAGATTTTAACAACATTAATGCAGGAAATTTCACGGAAATTCCTCACATGTTCAATATCAATTTATTACTAAAACAATTCACACTATTTTCCTCGTCTATTGTTCTCTACTGTCCTTAAATATCTGTTGTTTATATACTTATTATTCATATAATGCTGCTCCCCATAGTTGTTATTGAATCCGTTTTAATAAAACTTATTTTTATTTATTTTAATTTGGCTCTCTAATGACCCGTCACACATGGGAGAAAACTCTGTACATAATGAATAGTAATTGTATTGTTCCTGAATTTGTAAACTTCCATCAACAGTTTGGAGAATAAGTACTGAATGACATGAATCAACATTTTTGTGTGCCCTTGTAGTGCATGTGGAGTCCTTTCCTTGAATCCATTTGACCACTCTTTTGGGCATTGTTATCTAAAGGGTTCAGATAATGGTTTATGACATTTGGTTTTATTAGTGACCAAAATACCAGTCTCTCTATGTCATTTTGAATAAATTCTGTCTACATTATGAAAGTTTGTTTTTACTTTTTGACTGCTTTCAATTTGCAATTTGAAATTAGATTTTCTATTCTCTCCATTTGAAATAACTCATTTGGTGCTTGCAGCTATCAGGAATTTCTACAGCAGACTCAGAAGCCAGACTTTGACAAAGATGATGGATGGCAAGCTCTAGATGAACAGCAAATCTACTCTCCAGAAGAATATGCTGCGTTTGAACAACGTCGTCAGCAAGAAATACAGCGAATGATACAACAGGGCTTGGTGAGTTGTTGGGTAATTTTTTATGTTGCTTCGCTTTTGAAGTTTTAACTGCAAAAACATTTTAGTTAGAAGAATATTAATTTTTAAGGTAAAATGCAGTAACAATTGCACTTCTGCACAGTGTGTAAAACACAATTGCACAATGGAGTGTATAGCAGTTCTGTCCTTAGAATATTCCATTTGAAATCTATATTCTATTATGTTTTATCTTGAAATTCTATTTTGATTCAACTGTCAGTAAAAGAATATACCAGAAGTATTCGGAGGTTATTTGTGTAAGTGGCAGTTTTATCATTTTTAGATAATGTGTCTTCAGCTTTCAGGTTTTTATCTTCCTTTAATGTTCTCCAAGCACAATCTGTATCATACAAATAATCTTGCTAATTATTCATTAAGAGGTCATAATCTTTTTCTAAAATACAAGCACATACGTAATTGTTACAGACATCTTAATTACGTAATTATTTAATTTTTTGACTTGGTTCTTTGCTGATACTTTGTAATCATTGTAAGTGATGGTGGGAATGAGATGTCATTTACTTACCACCAAATTTCTGGAACACTTGATTAATTTGTGTCCACTGTTAAATGTTTAACATTGTATGCACATGAGTATTCCAATCTTACACATTTTGTTTATGTTTGAAAGTTACATCTTTTTCATTAATTTTTTGTACCACAATTTCCTAGACAATTTATTGCAGGAAATATTGCATTATCTTAACTCTATCTCGCCTGTTTGATTTTTACTTTCTTACTGTATGAATTCTTCGTAAGAAGAGAAAGTTATGTAATGTGTGACACAGAAAACAAAGAAATTTCTCCAGAAAAACCTTATTGCTGGGTTATGGTAACGTAAAAGTGTATAAATTTGGAAGAAAAAACATTCTCTAGCTTTTGGTTTAGCCAGAATCCAAGTTTTGTTGTTTTTAATACCGAAAAATCAATTGACGGCCAAATGTACGTCTGTGGTTAGTGTTGGCAGCTAAACCGTTAAGCCTATTTTCTGCAACTTGATATTCCCCAATCGATCTGGCTGATGTCGCAGCCGCTGTAATTTGAAAACGTATGTTAATTTTGGGGGGCATTTTACATTAAGTCAAATTTTTTCCAATAAGAGATGATAAGAAATATGGTGCTAGTCCCATTTTCAGGAATTGCTTGTTGTTGTTTTAAAAATTGCAAAAACATTTCATAACTACAAATTTTAAGATAGATTTTTTCGTCGAAGTTTGTTGTACAAAATTAGCTAAAATAAATAAATAAATTAAAAAAAAACTAGTGCTGTAGAATGCACAGACTTTCTCGCCCTAGTTAGTTTTCTATTCTTTCTACTCCGCTCCGTAATGCTAGAACTGAAACCACCATACACTTATACTATTATGAAAGTATTCATTGCACATTGTAACTGGATAGTCGAGGTAGCTATTTTGGGGGTAAGCCCTAAGCTCTTCAGAGGGCAGGTGGGTTGGTTTGAGTTGTAGTCCGGAACTGTTATTTGTTACAATGTGTTGCCGCAGGAAGTCATTGATAAATCCAGAAAAATTACAAATTAAATTTCAATGATTTGTGTGATTTTCGAATTTTTAACTTTTAAACAATTTTTCACATCTCTTATAGGATTTATAAAACCTATGAACCCTCAAATCAATTTTATTCTTTTACTGTTTATAACTATTAAAGAAGTGCCAAATCTCTGTATAAACCAGGTGGCCGAAGTGCATAAATGCTGGGTCAGACTTTTATTTTGGAGGGAAAGGCTGGAGGTTCAAGCCTGGCTCAGGGGTCATTATTTGTGATAATGCTCTATTGCCGCAGAAAACTATTGAGAATTTCAGAAACTTTATTGAAAATAGTTCAAAGCAATTCTATTCACATATACAATCTATTAATATTCTAAATAAATTGGAAGAGTCTATGTCATTTTTGTATTTTGAAATTTTAAACAAGTTTACAACTCTCTTGTCCTATTTGTAAAACGTACATTACTACATTTTTTAACATTTTCAAAACCACCCATCTCCCTTAGTAGTAAATTTTGCTTCACTTCATAAAATTACCAAAATTCAACTACATAGAAAGAAATGATGACAACATATAGTAGTTAATCTATGTATGATCTCCAACTGTTCAAATTCAAACTACCAAAGAAAATCTGTTTAGCTGCCATACATTCCCCATACGATTGTTCTCCAAGCATCACACGCAGCACCATATGCCCACGTTTTGTTGAATTTCCTTTTGCTTGTAGTGGTAGTAGGAGTATAGGAAAGGGTGAATTACTATTTTGTTAACAATGCAGAAAATAAAATCTGTAGTTCTTTTACCATTGCGAATAAGTTTTCTATAACTCGGGAACGAAAATACCTAGTTTTTCGAATATCACTAATCTTGTGCTTTTTTAATTTTATTTTTATTTATTGATTTATATTTCACTTTTACTCGTCTTTCAACTATTTATATTTAAAATGATGGGAAGGGATTCTGGAACTCAAGAAAACATGCGCAGATTATCTTCTCCCCCATATGTCACATAAAGCTTTTACTATTTTTTGACTAAATAAATTTAAATCACATTGCACTGTTTGTTGGTTTGCATAGTTCATTATTAAAACACATTGATTTTTCCTGACACATGTGAAATAGCTTCTGAAGATTATAATGTTGCTATTGTAACTAAAAGCTGGATGTTTTCAAGGGTCTTTAGCAAAATAACAAATTGTTTTGACGGAAGGTGTGAAATGTATGTTAGTAACTGTTAAATGTAATACAATTTTTAATATTTAATCATAAAGTAACTTAATCTGTATGTAATTAGGGGGGGGATTAAAAGCCCTGCCCAATTTTCCAGAAGGAAATCATTTCAACATTTTCTCTTGGAATTTTCACCTTGGCACCTTTGGCATCTTGAAAATGATAAGTCTTAAAAAAAGAAAATATATGACAAAAACAGAATTTTCTTATCATTAAATTGATCGTATACTCAGACCATCATGGCAACTATAAATTCACGTGGATGTTTTCACAATTCTTCATTCTGTTGCCATTTTGTTTGAGAAATTCTCTCTCTC